AAGGAATCGATCTACCGGTTCGGAAATCAAGAAATTAGGTATTCATAGTGTGTCGACGCGTTCTATTAATCTTTCCAGATGACACGTACCTCATAATCGTTTTTTTCTTCCCCCCCTTTCAAAATGATCTATGACGGAGGGAAATTTCCACTTTCCTTTTCTCCTAAGGGAATCCGTCCAAGACAATTACGTTACACGAGCACAAACTGTTACGTGGATAGAAAACAGATTATTTTAAAGATGATTTTGAAGAACGTCCCGGGAAAGAATTTGAACCGCCCGAACTGACGTTTCACGATACGACGCAAGAAGGGGAGAGTATTTGTCTGTGATATTAAATTAAATGCCAGGGCGCTCGATCAGAAACTGACGGAGAACGTTTGCGAGGTAAAATCCTCATAGATCGGAGATTGGATGAAAATTGACGAAATCACGTGAAAAATGAGTTTAACCCCCGGACAGATAGACTGCGAGTTTTTTCCACCCCGAGGATGATCAAGCAAGTAATCTTTCTACCATTCTAAAAGTCATCGTGCTATCTCTGTACTTTATTCTCGTCTCGTTCTCCCCTCTTCACTCGGTCCGATCGCCTCGCTTCGGTTACGTGACGAATCTTTTTCTTTGATTCTTCGTTACTAAACGTAATTCAGTAATAGAAAATACGAGAAAAGCGTTTCGATTCGACGCCGATGCTGTTACGTCGCATGGAACCGTTTTGTTCCGACGACGAGAATCCTATCGAATAGTAACTCAGGATAAAAAAAATTGCTATCCGATTGTACGAAACGTCGATTTATCTATCATTTTCAATTTTATTCGATTCTGCTTCCCTTCGATCCTTCTTAAACGCAATATTCGCGGCAAATCGAATTTCAATAGAGGGAGAGAGAGAGAGAAATTTCCAGCTCGTTGCTTCGCGCTGCACCAAAGTTTAATTATTCCATGAACAAAATGTGGAAACGACCTCGTCTTTAAAATCTTATTAATGCTCCGGTGTACTTGGTGCGCCAACGACTACATCAATCTTCCGACTTTGAGGCTGTGCGAGGAAAACCAAGGCGTATCGATTTTGGTCGAACGGTCTCAAAGGAAATCTCATTAAACGCGTGGCAAAGTACGAATGAAACGAAAATCAAAATGTCCATATGTTCGCGTCGTTTAAAATTGCATTAAATAACATAAATCACGTAGATTCGAGTGTAAATTGTTTTAATATAAATCGCGTAAATTGTTTCCATATAAATCGCGTCTTTCTTTGAAAATTCAACGATAAAAAAGAGAAATGCACGTTCACGAACGTTCGGTTAACACCAGTCGACTTTGCTTCTGAAGTATGTCTTGCAATTTTCATAATAGTGCAAAAACTAAAATTATAATATGAAACTAAAAAAAGTGTTTAGAGTTTAAGATGCATCGCAGAACGAAGCAGGAAATTTAATTTTTCAGATATTATTTGAACAAACTTTGGAAATCTTTTAACCATGTCAAAATTAATTTAAAACAATACATTTTATTCCAAATATTCTCAGCGTTATTTGTTCGGGTACTAAATAATAATAAATTATATAATACTGTACTCGGAATACTCATTATATAAATTATTATATAAATATAATAATTATATAAATTATATAATGCTATGCAATGATACCAAATACTAGTAATATTTACTTTAAAATTATTTTGATAACAAATTCTACAGCGTCTTCTCATCAAATTGATTTCATCTTAACAGACAGAATACACGCGGTGTACACGATATCTATACGTGATTTTTATAATTACACATAAAGTTTTAAATGTATAAAAAATTCATGTAAAAATATTAAAATTTTTTTTCAAAACTAAGTGGGAAGTATACGTTAATTCTGCGATGAACGAAATCCTCTTGATACGAAATAGTATCAGTCTCTCGATCGAAAACACTCGAGAGAACTGAACGGAGATATACTTGCGATTTTCGGATCGCTTCGCGAGGAAGCCTCGATACGAGATTCGAGACGTAATTCGCCGCTTTAAAATAATCACCTATCAGTTTACACATTTTCCAAGCGGAATCTAATTCCGAGTGGCTGTGCTCATCCTGATTTATGGCCGAGGCTCGTTCCTTCCTGGCCGCTTTGGCAAATCGCGATCTGATTTTCCAGCCTTTCCATTTCCACTTCGCGCCCGACGAGTCTCCACCCACCTGGTTATCTGCAACCGCGCGGTACAAATATTTGAGAATTTTCTGCTTAAGGACGTTTTTTACCGGATGCGGGAAGAAAAGGAGAGAAACGTGTATCTCTCCACCGTGTGAAATCTCTCGGAAGGCACAATCTCCCCCATTTCCGATTTTACATACTCTTATCTGATATAATACGGATACGTTTCGCGAGCTTTGCTTCTGCAGCTCTCGTCGCGTAAAACGCCACGTCTATTTAAAAAAAAAAAAAAAAAAAAAACAAGAACGCTTTAAAAGTCGCGAATTAAACCAATTTCAAAGAAGAAGAAGAAGAAGAAGAAGTTTGAAGCGTCCTTGCTCGAAGCTTATTATTATTCTATCTAATTAACGAGAGGGAAAAACCGTGGGCCGTGGCTTGAAACTTGATAATGAATCTCTTTTTCTGTGAACTTCGTCGTGAGGGATTTCTCGTCAAACACGGACGGTTATTTTCCTCTTCACCTTCGCTGCCCTATCAGTACGTGGAACACGTTCCCAGTATCTCCTCTCAGAGATTAATTAAGTCGGCGGGAATTTAGCATATCTTCCTCCTTTGACGAAAGTCAGATACCCCATAAATGATCGTCCCGCGGTCCAATGGAAAACAAAGTCCCTCCCTGGTCTCCTTAATTTGAAAAAGCTGAGATCGATAGCGCGGACGTCCAGTACACTTCCCCCGAGGGAACTACGCGCTTCTCGAGGAACTAAATATAGGAAGAACTCTGCAACTTCGAATTAATCAATTGCGGAATTAAAGTATTTTGCACGGTCCAATTTTCTCTCGCTGTGAAAATCACACGATGATGAGTCTAGGTATTCAACCGACGCCAGGAAGACACGCGAGATCAACTCTGATAAGGTAAGAGGTAAGAGGCGAGTAACAAAGGCATGACGTAAATGAATATAACAGCGAAGAAGTTGTTTGTCGAATAAGAAGACCCGTCGTTCCACCGAACGTTCACGTCGTTGGGGGATGTTAACGCCACAGCCAATTCCCAGTTTCGTCCTCCTGTCTGTCCTACCCTTATTCCGCAAAACCACCGGGAGCTGTTCGCTCCCGTGAACGTTGCGCACGCTCCTCTGATTTACCGTCTGATACCTACACTCTCTCTCGCAGCCTCCAGGCTTCTACGATGTAAGTTACGTCGCGCAGTATCACTAAGGAATGAAGATTGTACGCGAACGAGCGCGACTAGAGTTAAGTGAAAAAAAAAAAAAAGAAAAAGAAGAAGAAGAAGAAGAAGAAGGGGACGAGGCAAGTCGTTCGGGTTTATTTCTCTTGGCGAGGAGAGAGTGAAACAAAGCTGTTGTCGCGTTTTACCAAGTCCCGACGGTGGTCAAGCTGAAAGTTACTAACAACTATGCGAGGAATCTTTCACGGGGATCGACATTAGGCAAGAAATTCTCTCGATGAAAGAAAGATTTATTCGTCGATTGACACGTGGAACGAGAGCGTGAATATTTTTACTCCAAGTTCCCTGAGGAAGAGCGCGAGTATTTTTACTCGTAGATTTCCTTCTGCCGCGGAACAAGTGCAAGAATGAGGGGCAAGACAGGACAGAAAGAAAGCGAAGTCTGCCGATGCATATTTTTACGGATATCCGAGCAAAAATGTTTGCGGTGTACTTTAGCATGCACGTGATAAACTTTCGTGATCGTAACGTTTCAATCGCTCATTTCATCTTCCAGAGAAAGTATATTTTTGATAAAATAGATGGGGAAATTGGATGCGAGGCCAGCGTAATTGGGTGAGAGCCGGCGGCCTTGCATATTCAAGGTCTGAAGATCTACACCTACAGCGATACAAGTAGCGCCTAAAGAAGCGAAGAGAGACGAGAGAAAAAAAAAAAGAAAGGAAAAAGGAAGAAGAAGAAAATGTGTTTTCAAAGCCCCTGGCTTGTCCGTAAAACAAAGGAAGGTTTTCCCGGAAGGTCGAGAAGCGTCTAAGGCAAAGGATGCGTTTCACTCTCCCCGGCCATTATGAAGAGTTAATTACCTACGAAGTAATTAATTCTATCGTGGAATTTTAAACGAGAAAAAACGTGAGAACGAGAGGATGTTCAAAATCGACGGATGTTTGCTCAGGAGTTCAAGATCCAACTTGGACTATAGTTGGACTATAGTTTTATTCGTTGAACAGATTTCTATAAATGATGATCCTACTACACGCGCGCCCACACACACACACACACACATATGCATACAATTATTGAATACTTTGTAATTGCAAAAGAAAATTGAAAATATTGAAATTTGATTGTCACTCTGTCCGAGAACTAAAACTTTTATCAAGAAAAGCGTATAGAATTAACTATAGTTTATTTTTACACTTCTATGTTATACTATATTATACTATATACATTATTTATACAATATTTTACTATATTTTACTATACTTTATTATATATTATATTTTTTTTGTAAGTATAAAACGCTAATTTTTGAATGTACTTGCATGTTTAAAAATCTATCAAGAACAAACAAGCATATAGAATTAACTATAATATATTTTTATACTTTTATACTACGTATATTATGTATATTATATAGTATATTTCTATACTTCTACATTATACTATAGTATACTTTTTTTATACACTATATGTACTATATTATTTTCTTTTTATAAGTATAGAACTCTCTAATTTTTGAATGTACTTGTACATTTAAAAATGCTCAAACAGCTGCAGCAAACAGTTCTTATTTTTTAATCAATACTGAAAAGTTGAAATTCAAAAGCTAAGAGAAAAGAAAGAGCGTAGGAATGATTAATGTCGGAAGAAGAATGCTTGCTCACCTAAAGGATGTCACCGGTGCTGGCAGCTCTCGTGGTTTTCGTCAATGGTCCCAGTTGTCTGTTTTGATCTGGTCGGGGTCTGCAGTAAATAATTTTCCGAAAAGCCTTTCGAAAGCTGTCACTGAGGAAAGCGTAAAGAATAGGATTGACGCAGCTGTTGGTGTACGCCAGAATATGACTCGCTATCTGCACCATTATCGTCGCTGATGTCAATGGGTACACGTCCAACGATTTCGTCACCAGGATCACCTTTTTCAAAGGACACATGAAAGAAAAAACATTATTATAATCTCCGCATATTTGAAATAGACTAAAGCAAAAACACTCTCAATATAGGCAAAACAAAGTTCTCAGTTAGTTTATTTCAGATTGAATATGCTCGGAATAAACGGGTGAAACCTTTCGCGAAAATTCGACGGAAAATCTGCCTTACAGTGGGAATTTCCGGGCAATTATTTTTTGCCAGGGCAAAAAGTAATTCCAGCAACAGCTTATTTCGCTAAAAGTTCCAAAATGAACGATAATAATAACTTATCAACTTTTTGAGCGAATTTCAACTCGTTGATTTCGTGCCCCGCCTAAACTACCGTCACGGAAACAAACGTTAAATATAACATGAAATATACATTATAGGGTGGATCAAAAATCACTTTCTATCGTAAAATAAATCCGTAATTTCTTTTATTACATATCTTTTGTATTTACTGGACAAGAAATTTTCAAAACATGATGAAAAAATTATGTTTGAACTTAAATCTAATTTAAAATTAATAAAATTAGTTCTTTCCTTGCATTTTGATGTTTCGTTAAAAAAAAAAAAAAAAAAAAAAAGAAATAGATGGGGAAAAAAACTTTTGGCCCATCCTACATTTTGGCAAGTAGGAATTGAAAAAAAAATTGTTATAAACGTTCTGTTTGTAAATTTCTGTCACCGATGATTTCACGCGATGTCAATTCATCGGCTAAGTAAATTGCAATCAACAGGGCACACTTGTACATTCTACGAAAACAATATTTTTTCATTTGATGAATAAACGTTCCATTTGTTTTAACAACTACAACGTATCGACAAATTCCTGTTACGTTTTGACAAACACATTTTCGAGAAAGGACATTTTTCAGCGAAACATAAACATAGTTTTCATGGATATAGTGGTTGCAGAGTCGTGAGATATACGTAGAACAATCGCTACGAAACAAGAAAGTAAACGAAAAATCATTGCATTCCAAACGCAAATTTTGCCGATGTAAAGCTGTGCACGGCTAAATGTGTTTTTATAACTCTGATGGAATTTTTTCCTCCCTTATTTTCAATTTTCGTACGCGGCGCTATGACAAAAAAAAAAAAAAAAAGAAAGAACCGACAGACATATTTGAACTGTAATTATTTTTTTATAACCACTTCGTTTCTTTCCCATTTTTTTCGTTCACGTTTCGACAAACAAATTTGAACAAAGTGAAATAGTTTCTGTCAAATTCAACGAAATCTCACAACGGCAGGTTCGTTCACCAATCAGACTCAAAACTCATTAAAGGTAAAAATAGCCACGTCGAATCGCCGAATTTCGCCGCGACCAATGTCCATCCACGATTTATTTTCTATCTCCATTAGTACATCAGTTAATTACATTTTGCCGGTAACGCACATCAATTCTTTCCGGCGAAATTCCATCGTGTGAAATGAACGAACCTCGCGTTCGATTCTCTGAACAACCCGTTTGCCGATTGACATCCGAGACGAGTCACGCGGTAGAGAAAACAGCGATACCCTTTGATCTCGTCAAGCCGTAAATATTTTCAAGCAACATACTCGCAAATAAGTAAAATACCTGTAAATGGATTTAAATTGACCGATTAAAATTACGATCGGTCAGTGGCGAAATTAATGACAAAATGTCACAAGCATCTGTAGACAAATATCGAACGCTGACGAGACAAAATCTCACAAACTCTATAAAAGAAATCACGTGACACTGACCTGTATAGGGCACCAACAGAAGGCGAAGACGCCAACGACGACGAAGACCAGCCTGGTGACTCGTTTCCTTCCGCGGCGGCTTTCGGCGCTGACGCGGTCCGTGCGCCAGAGCCTGATGAGCATGCAAATGTAAAAGAAGCATATCAGCATCAGCGGCAGCAGATAGCTCATCAGGAAGAACGACATCTGGAACAACGGCCAATTGTACTGCGGCAAGATCCGGCAGGCCGTCAGATTCTCCGACGATGAGTCGTCCATGTCCTGAAACTGAGGCGAGTCCGCAATATGCGAGAGAGCAATTATTGGCCGTGGTCGCGTAATATAAAACGAAGTGTACGAAACACGGTAATTTAACCTTATAATTATGAATTATTAAATGACATTTAGTGGTTGTGTAAGTTTTTATTGCGGCTAACATATGAAACAGTTGAACAACCTGTTAATAATATCTTTCGATTCATAGTCAATAATAACTCACAATCTATATGAATAATTGAATAGTAAGTAACTTTGTAGAAAATTGGAAAACCTGTTTTCGCAATCATGAATATAAGAACTGACATAATTTCATCTTCGCAACGTTCCACTTTGAATAATTAAATTAGACTGATCAAAATATATTCATACACATCCTAAGAATGTAAATAAATCGGTCGAATGATATTCACATGTGTGTTGTAAATATGAAATGAAACTTTTGATACTAATAATACTATCATTATTTTGATGAATTCGTTATTCTAAGAGAGGGGATGGCGTCAATTTTTTGAATACGGTTGGGTAATATCTTTTAAATTTATAATTTATAACATTTATAATATATATCTTTTACACTTATAATTATATATAACATAATATATTTTTTTATTTATTCATATATTAAGAATTTATAACAAATTTATAACTAAACTTCTTTTAATATTTTATTTATTTATTTATTATTTGAATATTTTATTTATTTTTTGCACGGACAAATAGTCGGGTCGTATGAGGTGCAGAATTTGGGAATTCTACGTGACATACTCTCGCCGCTGTGGTGAGCAAATTGCTTTTAACCTTTCAAATGCGCTAAAACGTGTGGCGATTATGATATCGGTATAGACAAGGCCTATCGTGCCGGCATAAAAAAAACGACGCAAATTTTCCTTTTGAAATTTGGAATCCAAAGAAGTCGAAAGAACGTTTTCTTTCAATGAAACTAAAGATTATTTTTAGTAACGAGTAATAGTAATAGTTATAACATACGCGTGTATAATAGATCTCACTCAAAGCAATGACCAGTGCCATCGCCTATCGTCTATAGTCCGTGGCTATGGGAAACGTTCATGCGCGGAATATTTAACGATCAAAGGGTTAATGCAATGCATTTAAATCCTACCTCTATGTGATAGGGACTATGTTCGAAACGTGCGTGCACTATGTAATATAATGCGCAGTGTGGAATTCTATGTAACAAGTTGTCACTTAGAACTTAGAATGTCAACGTCTGCTATGTATAATTATTTCACTGTAGATGCTGGCTATGAATGATGCAGTATATTGAAACAAATTGCGGAAATATAATATACAATTACAAAAGAAGGGAGGACAATCGGTAATTATTATTGTAAAGGGCGATTTAATTGTTTTACGGCAAGATAATTATTCTAATTAACACGGTGGACAAATCGTCATCCGATCGAAAATTTGAATCGTGCACGAGAGACGCATTGTGATTCGCAATTCACCACCACGTCGAAACGGCATGCGTCACACGCGTCATAAACCTAAAACGCGGTGGAGCTATAATCATCGAACTCGTATAGGAGAATGATCATTTCCCCCCATTTCCGTAGAGTCGCGTAAAATCGCATAACGCGCGATAATAACGAGCTGCGTGTTTGGAGAAATTTGCACAGAGATTTGCACAATCAAGATGACACGAATACGCGTATACAGGATCATCGCTCATGGCGGAATCTAAAAATATTTTCAACAATTACAATTATAGAAACACAACGTAACCTTTGCGATTATAATGAAATACAATGTAAAAAAAATTTGTTTCATCCATTATATATTCGATCTTGGATACTTAGGTATTTTGATATATTTTATGTGTATTATATAATACTGCGTGTAAATAATAATATAAAGTATAAAAAAAAAAATTGGTTTGAAAATTTTTGCAACTTCCAATTTCCCATAAATCCACACCTTATCATGTCATTCAAATAACATGCAATGTTATTGATATGTTGTACGTTCCAACCACGAATGAAATACGATTAAAAAGTAAAGTATCGGACAATATGAAAAACACAGATCATTCGCTGAATCAGATCGAGAAAAGCGTAAATATTCGCGAAAGAATATTTCATACCCACGGAGGGTAAAACGTTCTGTTATATGATTACAAGTTGTCAGGCGATTGCGTTCGTTTCATCGGAAATTAATTAGAAGAATTTATCCGGAGAAGAACACTCGGAAAGAAATTACCGAATAGATCGGGGGCATCGGCGAACTCTCCTTCCAATCACTTCAATTTTCCAATACCATTGCCGGATTATTGTTTGAAAAGGATTAATCTACCTTCTCGTAAATTTTAATCCTGCCACTTCTCTTTTTTTCCCCCAGCTCTTTCGACCTCTTTCGAGTTAAATTGATCCGCTAAATACCGAATGAAAGACCTGTACTATCGTATCCATTTTATAATGGCGGACAAACAACCGGATTTGAACGCACTATGACATCGAAATCTGGTTATTGAACGGTGTTCGTGCAATCGACAACGAATTAACCGAAATGAAGTAAAAGAGGTCACCATCACGTAATAAAATTTTCCGTGTTTCGACAATTAACAAAACGAAGTGAATATCATACTGTATTTCCAATTTCAATGTTCGATAATTGTGCACGATTAATACGGACACTGTTAGCGATATTATGGTTTATATAAGATTTATATGCGAGAGATAAATTGTAAATGATTTACCTCGCCGTGGACGAAGAATGCAGGAGTTGATATCGCGAAAATCAACGCCCAGGCGATGCAGATGGCGATGATTGCGTGGTTCTCGGTTCTCCACGACATCGAGGAAATGGGATGAACCACTGCCAAGTATCTGTAACAATCGAGATGCAAGTGTCACGCCGTCATGAACACATCGATCGAATTTATTAACAATTGGTGTAAATCTCTCAGAATGTCTTCCACGTAATACGCTAAAGCGAATCAATGCGCTAACTGACTTGGACGAAAGCCAACGAGTCGAATTACGCGATCTATCGGTGGATTCTACGTGAATTGAATCGTGCGAAGCGAAATTGTAACAAATTTGCATAGCTTTGTTTGCTACTTTGTTTAAATAAACAAAATTTTTTCTTTTTTTTTCTTTTGACTCTGAGTCAATCTCAATTTAAGTAAAACCGTCGATCGTAGAAATTATTCGATTCACATTTATTTTACGATCATTGGAAACCACGAAAATGCAATTCGTAGCGCAGGAGACGAGCTGAAATTGAAATTGAAAAATTTCAGAAATCTGATCGCGCAACGTAACTCGCAAAAAACCACTCGTGAGAAATAGAAAACGAACGTATTCCTCGTACATTCCGAGAGGAAAGTCGAGATTCTTTTGCACGTATGACGTCTCTAGACATGTCGCACGTGACACATAGTGTAGTCTGCATGTACACTCGAAATGGAAATACAGCAGTCGATATTTACGGACCAATATGTGTCACAAAATCATCCTCCGAATATTTGTATCAAATCATGTGCACGACCAAGTAGATTTTATATTTCTATGCTATCGCAAGAATTTTTGTTATTTTGAGAGTTGCGACTATAATTTTCATTCATCATTCTTTCTTCTCTCAATTTTTCCACTTGAATGAAAAAAATTGTCTCTTTCCTTTTCTCAGAATTTTTCAACTTACTCACCTGTCGAGGCTCATGAGGACTAAAGTGTAAACACTGGCGTAGGCAGTGACGATGATGAGATACTGAACCATCTTGCACCAAAAGTTGCCAAACGGCCAGAACGGTAGCACGAAATCAGTGGCGGTGAATGGTATACAAAAAATGACGAACAATAGGTCCGCCACGGCCAGATTGATAATCAGGATGTTGGTGGTCGATCTCATGCCGGGATTCGCGGCGACCACGATGACGACCAGTGAATTCCCAACGAGCCCGAGTATACCGATCATGCCAAAAAATATCGGCACCACGACCACCACTATTTTCTCCACTTGTTGCCGATCGAAGCTATAATCGAAATCGTCGATGAATCGCTGGGTTTCGTTGTTGTGCGAGGTGTTTGTAAAATTTTTGACCATTCTGTCGAAAGCGATCTCCATCTCTTGAAGCATCATGCGTAACCACCAGAGATCGTTTAAAAACTCGGAACGTTCCTCTCACAGTTTCTAATCGCGAACATTCGTTTCGACGTGTTTCAATTCAATTTCCTCCGATGCTTCAGCTTCATTCTTGGCATAAAGTTGCGTATCACAAACGTACATATAGTAAATATAGCAGTTAAAAATCTTCGTGCGCCGTATCTCTAGAATTCGTTCTCGAATATTGTACAATACAAAAGCTATTCGTTCGATGTCACGTGTCTGGCATGTTAATTTCCCAAAAAGTTCGTCGCGACTTGTGCGCCGAGGTGCAACGATTTCCTTTTCACCAGCCGTCGATCTGAAAAGGAATCAACGTTCAATGTAACTAACTGGCTGTCTAACGCACCAAAGTGTTTTTAATTTGTAATACGATCGTTATCATTATCTCGTTCACATTGTCACAAACGCTGGCAAATAACAATTCGCAAATAACACCAAACCTTACCAACAGGAAAGAAGGAATAATTATCTCACGCCTAAGAACCGTTCATACCAAGCTGACACATGAACACAAACTCAAAAAAAAACTACACCACCCACCTGCACTCATTGCAATAACCATCCACTAACAATAATCCACATACTGCACGAATGCCACACCACAGAAATCCAAAGACAGAAAAATACGGAATCAACGCAAACATAAACCTGACTTCTCAAAATGACATACAAAGAGTATTAAAATATCTCAAAAAACATAAACTACTACACACATATCTAATGGCACCGTCGTCGCTAATGACCTCGCTGTCGATGCAACATTAAAGAAAAATAGAAGAAGAAGAAGAACAATTCGCCGAGTTTCCCCCGCGAGCAAGAGGAAATTCCAGAGACGTCTACTGATTCGAGTAAAAATAAATCGCAATGCGATTTCAGTTGCACAATCAAATCGTACGCGATTGCTCCGAGCGGCTAAACAGCACCTCCGACGATCCGGACACGCGAAGCTTCAATTATCCAGACTAACTTCCCGTCCCGTGGAACGAGGCATTTTGATTCGGATTTTAAATTCGGATTTCTCTGACTGGCGCGCCGGGGCACCGGGTTTCCCTCCGGCTCTAAAAATAGGACCATTAGGCGGACTGAAATTAGATTTTTTTCTCAAACACAACAAGTACAGCACAATGTGCTGCGATTAACAATACGAAATCATCGTTCGGCAACGACGAGAAGTCATTTCTGAGAAGATAATCGCGGTTTAATTCGGTCGGAAGAAGCATCTGGACTTTAAAGAAAATTCCCTTCTTATCCGAATGAAATTACTCGTCGTCTGTCACGTCCGTATTGAATTATTTAAGAACAGTTGCCAGCAGCAGTCGCGGCTAAAGAGGGTTGCTAAGGGGAGTAACTCGATCTCCGCAATCGGGCGCTAATTTTTCAATAACATACACTGAAAATACAATCGTTGCGCGAATTACAAATTACGAAGCAACCAAGACTATTGAACTCTTGTATCTTTTCGGCGATATATATGTGTATATATATATATATATATATATTTTATGAGTTCTTTCAAGAGCGATAACTATTCGATTTTAATTCTTCGATTCGACAATTGAAAATGTTAGAAAAAAAAGGAAGAAGAAAAAAAGGGGGAAAGAGAGAGAGAAGACATAATAAAAATTGACCCGTTTTGAGTCGTGTTTGACTAGTAACAGTGCCTTATCGAAATTCAGGTCACGTTAAGAGTACGTGCGATCCTTTCTTTTGTGACTCCGACACGGTTGAAAGAGTGCTCTATATAACCCTCGTTCTCACTTATGCAAATATAAATAATACAAATTCGACGTAAGTGGATATTCGAAATATCGTTAGACCAAAGCAGGGAGGTTAAGTGTTTCAAAGCGTTCTAAAGGGAAATTTACGACAGATTCTAATCGGACGAGAAGGATAAGAAAAATATAGAATTGTCGTCAAATAAATGTCGTCTTCGTGTCGAATATTGCATAATTGATATTTACGTTCGACAACAATGGAATTTTAATACATGGTCATTCCAGTTTGGCATGTTTCAAATTTGCCTCATAGAAATTGAATGCATATACTACGGGTAATTAAAGATTAAAAGCCACGTACGATCGTATATGATTGTCGATTAAACAATATCGCGCCATTGTATGCAGTTAATTAAACACAGCAAATTAATAATCGTGTTCAAAAGGAGTTCCATTGTTCGACCGGCTAAATGAAATTTCATATGAGTTACAGCTTTTATCATTCGAGATACAGGCTTTATTTCCACGCTTTGAAGCACGTATATAAAAAGATTACGGCGCTTCGGTTATCAACTTGTTCGCTACACTTTCGAAGAATCAAAATTTTTAATTTATCCAGCCACTTTATCGTCCGCTAAATTATTCTCTCTCTCTCTCTCTCTCTCTCTCTCTTTATGGCAGTATTTCAAACAAAAAAAGTGCTATAAAATAACGTCAGGTGGTAAAGAAAAATTATTTCTCCGAGCAAACTAACCGTGTAGTTTTCGAAAAAAAAGTATTACAAACTATGTATTTTTTGCAAATAATTATAATAAATTGCATAGAGCACAATGAAACTTTCGTTCTCCAGTTTGTACATTATTATGGCGCAATACGTTCTCCTTACAATGCATTTTCTCCTCTCTCGCGCTTTCTACACCGTTGCTCCAATTTGTTGAAGAACGAAAAATCGAAGATAAAGGAAGAATTTCCATTGAAACCGCATTGAAGTCTCGCAGTTGAATACGACGGCGGACGTGATAATAATTTTCACGTAGAAGAACTTTCGCGCGCTCTCGAATGCCAGAAAGATTGCCCGATACAACACGTGGTTTCGCGTAGGACAGGACGTTGTTGCAAGCAACCACGTCCGGCTATTGATCAAATTTACGACAATCTTCATTTAATTACCTCGCGCGCCAATATCGACAGGGTTTAACGATCGTCCGCCCTTCCTTTTATCGGATTAACGGTGATAAGGCGTAACCGATGCAGATAGATCGATTCATGATTGGTCGTCCAACGGCTGCTAATTGCTGCAACACTCGTTTGCCAAGCACGTCCCTGGTAAATATCGTTGACGCACCTCCGCTTCCGGTGTCATGATGTACAGCGGATGAAAACACTCGAAAACACGCGAAACTCGAACTTAATATTCTATCATTTGCAAATCTATCTTCGGAATTTCGATACTCTATCGTAATTTTTTTTTTTTTTTTTTTTTTTTTTGAAAATCCTCGTCGATCGATCGATCGTTTTCTTTCTGTTTTTTCTCTCTCACATAACGCTGGAATTGAGTGGAAATAATTAAGCAGTTGGGAAATATCGAGAAGTATACGTGAGTACGACTAAGTAATCTTTTAACCTCTTGACTGTGAGTGAGCATACTCGTCACGAAGAAATGGCAACTTTCTAGAGAATGTAATTAGAATTTGTTGTTTGAATTGAATTCTTCGTAGGAAATGAAAAGTATTTGTAAATTTTAGGCATTTTGAGACTAGAGTTGATTCCATCTCTGAATATTTTCTTGTTTATGTGCGCTTGTTTATCTCGCGTAACATTATTGCATTGTGTGAAAGTTAATGGTAGATACACATACTGCAAAAATCATCTTTTAGACGTTACTTGTTATACAAGGAAGAATAATGGAAAACTCACGCGTGTAAATAATTTCCTGCTGAAATGTATTAAAAAAAAAAAAAAAACCAATTGAATTACAGTCAACTGAAGATATAAATTCAACACGTATCAGTTGGTCGGCAATCTACCTTGAAACTTACACGTTTCATCGGGAAACATTTCCCGGATTACGTACCGAGCACATCGTCGAAAACTAAACCCACACGAAGATGTTGGCCGTGTTCAAAAAATAATATACGAAAAGAATCTAGATATTGGTGCTCGACGTGCCAAGTGCCATTACCTAGCTCTAACAAACATCATTCCGAAAGAACAAATTAAATTTCTATTTTTTCCCTTTTGTTTAACAAGAAAATTACGAATGCTCAAGTTGTCGTAAATAATACCAATTAAGTATTAATGATAAAATTATTGATTTTTCAAAAAAAAAAAAAAAAAAGACACTAGTGTTATCTCCTTGTAACAGCTATTCGACACAATGTAGATACACATTTGTAAAAACGGCAGCACAGCTAAGAAATTAATTTCGAAGAAAAGAAAACGCGAATGGTTTAGCGCGTTTAGAGAGATGCTTAAGACCGACGCGTCAATGTTTGACGTTGAACCGTGGAATTGGCACGAACGTCGCTCGGACTTTGGAAAAGCCAGAGGTGCGCCATCGTTCGTCTAGCATCCACTGAAATATACAGGATATTTGAAAGAATCCGCCATTCCACGTAACGCGGTATGACGAACATATTCAGGAGGGGGGAAGGGGGGGAGGGGCAGCGGCCGCGAACATTACATATTGACGAGTCTGCGGGTCTGCCAGAAAAGAAAGAACGCGACTGAGAGGATGAAAAGGCGTGGGAGGGAGAGGAAAAGGAGGAGAGAAAAGAAGAAAAGTCAACGAGAATCTTCCGTAGTGCAGCCACGTATTCGCCGTTTGTCGATCGTACCGCAATAATTCCTTATTGCTCCTCCAACTCCCAACTCCTGACCCTAACCCTAACTCCTTCCTTTCGTCCATCACCGCCCCTTCTCCCTCTTCCTACGCCCGATTTTCCAGCCTGATCCAGCTCCTCTTTCTCTCTCTCTCTCTCTCTCTCTCTCCCTCTCACTCTCTGATCTTCTCTTCCGCGCGAACAGCCACCTCTCCCCATCATCGTCCTCAACTTCCGCCACCGCCACCGTTGGTTCAGTTTTCGAAGATTAACAGAGGGAAACTATTAAATCTATCGCGACAAGGGGATCAAGGTGAACCGATAACGCGATTCGTATCGACTCGCATAACGAGCTCGTAATTGCGACCCGGCGTTGGACGCGGCGCCGTCATCCTTCCCTCGATTCCTGGTTAATCTCGCTTGCGTTTGCAACCAACGGCCCTGGCCTCGAATCGATTTTTAGCTTTTTTTTTTTTTTTCTTTTTCCCCGAGAACTATGGATGCCATGGGTGCTACGCGTGTCCGCAGGAGGGAATGCAACGTTGGCTTTTCTCTTTTCTCTTTTTTTTTTTTTATTTCCGCTCCGGTCGGTTACCGATCCGCCGGCTGCTTTTCGCGCGCAAGCGAAATCGAATCGAATCGTTTAGGAGAAATTGGACAAAAGGGCGAAACCGAGAGCGCGGAAATTCGAAGCGAAGTTCGGTGGCGAAGTTTAGAAAGATACGCAGATCGAAATAGAAACACTTGGATTCCCGTCGTCTGCCAGTTTACTCATTTCAGCCGTTGTGTCTGTACGGATCGAGGTCCGTAATAGCGTGCTCGCGAAAGATACATGGCCGCGTTTGTTCATTCGGTACAGCTACCTCCGAAAGTGGTGCTACAACGATTATTAATTACTTAATTTCATAAATTCGGTCGAAATTAACCGGCGTTGTTTCTCTATTCTGCACTTTTTGTAACGCGATGAAACTTTCCATTTAACAAATTAAAACTGGACACAAAGGACACGCGAGCTTCGTCGAAGCAATTCTCCTTTTGTGCAGTAAAAACAAGTAATTAAAACAGTGTTATTCTGTTTTGTAAACAGGATCGACAACTCAGAGCCCGTTTTCGAAGAAAACAAAATTGAAGTTCCAACTTATCGAGCCGATTCCGCGTCCTCTGTAATTTACGAATCCACGTTTCCTTCGCCCCCTTTTCCCCTCTTTGGTGAAAGAAAATCCCACAAGATATCCTCGTTAAAACATCAAACGCAAACGTGGGCCTCCCACGCCACGATACCTCGGCGAACACGAATGGCGAACGCGAGTTAATAAATTAACTCGATAAAATCGTGCCCCGCTCGTCCTTAGGCGGGCAAAACACGCCCTCGAGAGGAGAAAGAGACGTCTCAGCAGTTACGTGGCGAACAGCAAGGTCGTCCTTCGTCCGAGATGATATCAATCCCGCCGTTCTTCCCGGCGTTTTTATTTTCTTCTACCTCTCTCTTTCCATTTTAATTCTCCTCGCCTACTCTCTGGCCGGCACCGATCATCTCCCGTACGACTTACGATCAAACGAAGCCCGTAAACCAGGCTGCAACTGCGCGATCGGCGCGACCGAGTGCCAGAAGAGAAATCGAATGCCTCGAGAAATCAACGTTCAATCGAATTCGTACGCGAGCGCAGCTTCGTACACGAGAGAAATAGTCGCTCGTTTAATCCGTTAAACGAGAAAAACTACTTAACTGGTCGCTCGGACTGTTAATTCTCCTTGCTTGTACTTCTTTATCTTGGCCAGAAATAGGAACGAACGGAGGAAAAACCATTGGCCGCGCGCGTGCAGAATACTCTGCTGCATGGCTCGTTCCACCGCATGGCACACTCTGCCGCATAGCGTCGTATCCTGTCGCTACGGCACTCGTACATCCTCGTTCGCTAAGTTAATTTATTCTCCACTTTGTCCTTTGATACGTTTCTTCTTCAATCTTGTAACTGTCATCCTTCTTTTACAGAACTTTCGTACATTTTTGTTTTTTCTCAGACCTAGCCAAACTGACATCAACCTTGGATATTTTTCTCAAACTATATGCTCATTTAGGTAAAACTTTCCCTTTATTTCTTTCTGAATTCTGTAATTACCATTCTGTATCTTCTTTCCTTCAAACCTGACCAAACTACATCAATCCCTACTCGGTATTTTTCTCCCTTTACCTTTCAATATGTTTCCTTTGGAATTTTGTAATTGTTATTTTTACCTTCTTTCTCCACAAACTTAATCAAACTATATCAAACTTAATCAAACTTAATCAAACTATCAAACTATATCCTTCGCTCGTTTAGATCACAAATCTCCCTTTGTCTCTTAATGTGTTCCTTTTTGCAATTATCATTTTGTATCTCCTTTTCCTCAAACCTAATCAAACTACATCAATCTTGGCTTGATATTTTCCAACTCTCCCTTCATCTCTTAATACATTCCTTTTCGAATTTCGCGATTGTCATTTTTTTTTTCATAGAAACTTTTGTACTTTTTCTTGTCAAACCTGGCCAAACTACCATCAACCTTCGCTCGATATTTCTCACTTAGGTACAACTCTCCCTTTTAATACGTTTATTTTCAAATTTTGCAATTACGGAACTTTTGTATCTGTTTCTTCTCCTACCTAATCAAACTACATCAAACTTCGCTCGGTGTTTTCAGCTCAGATGGAACTTTGTCGTTCGAGGGTTAGAAAAGGTCAACAGGGGAGTTCTTTACATTCATAATCAAGCGATAAACGAGGTCAAGCTTTTATAAAAAATACAGATTAGAACTAAACGAGCGTGATTCATTGAGCGTGATTCTTCGATCCTTTCAAATTTTCAGCCGTTTAACAGGTTAAATCGAGGTTAATGGATCGGCCGGTCGATCTGAGCGTGGAACGCGGCCGATCGACCGTAGGCGAAAATTCGCGAGAACCACCCACGTATCCGACGCGACGCATCAATGACGCTAAATACGGAGAATGAGTCGGCCGACATTGAATGCAAATCGACCGTTTAAACGACGACGGTGCTTGAGCACCGTGGAACTCGTGTGGGACCGGTTCTACTTCTCCTTCTTTTTCCATCGTTTTATCATATCGCTGCAACGCGCGGGCGGCTCGGCTGGTTCAATAACAATAATGGCCGTGCCGAGAAACAGCGTGAAAATAGAATTGATTTCGTCACTCACGTTCAAAGGCTCGACGTCGGTGTTTTACACGGTTAACGTGGAGAAGCAAAGTGCACGTGGACTCACCTGAAACAAGAAAAAAACAGCCTTCCCTTAGAAAATTCTATCACGGTGATTGAATATGTGATTAACAAGACAATTTGGGGACAATAATTCCAAAGAAAATCGTGGAATCCTCGATGGAGAGAAAGATGACTCTTGACTATTGTAAATGGCAATTGGCAATTGGCAATTGATACATTTTATATATATATATATATATATACATATTTTTTTTGCTGTTATGCGAAATCAGAATCGTCGGAACATTATCGCAGAGAACGTTGCGTAACGCGTTTCGACGAATTCGTTTTCGCGTCGTCGTATCTGGCGTGCTTAAGTCAATTAATGATATCGTTGAATCACGGCTGAAAAAGGAACTAGTACGAATATTCTTTATTCCTTGAGATACACATATCTTATCGCTCCGCGTTTTCTGTCTTAT